ATTTATCCTATATAATAAAAGGCTAATATGCAAATAGACCGAACAAGGAATGACCAGTTGCTATGACATGCACTGACCACCAGGGGGGAGATGCTCAATGCAAAAGCCAGGCTTATGGCTGGCAAGTGCAGCAGAGGTGGTGGGAGCCTCTCCTGCCTCCTTGGCAGTGCTAAGGACCCCTTGGGGGAGATGTCTGGGGGAGAGCAGGCTTAAGCCGGTAGTTGGACATCCCCCTGAGGGGTCCCGGACTGCAAGAGGGCACAAGCTGGGCTGAAGGAACCCCCATCCCCAGTGCACAAATGTCGTGCACCAGGCCTCTAGTGGATTAATAAAAGCTCCATCTACTTAAGACAAAAAATAATTTGTCAGCCCATCAATCCATTCAATGGAAAATCCAGCCAAGTCATTTCATAAACAAAACTATGAAATAATAGACTGATTTTTTTGAGATTCTTTTGTTATGTAGGTATAATAACAGATGAACATTTGAAAAATTTTTAAATAATTTGAAACTTATTTAAAGCTATTTAAAATCATAATATTAGGAAAAAGAAAACCCTTATCATTCTAAATGTAATATTTAATTGCCATGAAGAATAACATATTTCATTTAATCTTTAATGATATAGTCAATTTAAATTTATCCTATATAATAAAAGGCTAATATGCAAATCGACCAAACATGGAATGACCAGTTGCTATGACATGCACTGACCACCAGGGGGGAGATGCTCAATGCAAAAGCCAGGCTTAAAACCCTTATCATTCTAAATGTAATATTTAATTGCCATGAAGAATAACATATTTCATTTAATCTTTAATGATATAGTCAATTTAAATTTATCCTATATAATAAAAGGCTAATATGCAAATCGACCAAACATGGAATGACCAGTTGCTATGACACGCACTGACCACCAGGGGGTAGATGCTCAATGCAAAAGCCAGGCTTGTGGCTGGCAAGTGCAGCAGAGGTGATGGGAGCCTCTCCTGCCTCCTTGGCAGTGCTAAGGACCCCTTGGGGGAGATGTCTGGGGGAGAGCAGGCTTAAGCCGGTAGTTGGACATCCCCCTCTCCTGCCTCCTTGGCAGTGCTAAGGACCCCTTGGGGGGAGATGTCTAGAGGGGAGCAGGCCTAAGTCAGCAGTTGGACATCCCCTTGAGGGGTCCTGGACTTCGAGAGGGCACAGGCCGGGCTGAAGGAACCCCCAACCCCAGTGCACAAATGTCATGCACCGGTGTCTAGTGGATTAATAAAAGCTCCATCTACTTAAGACAAAAAATAATTTGTCAGCCCATCAATCCATTCAATGGAAAATCCAGCCAAGTCATTTCATAAACAAAACTATGAAATAATAGACTGATTTTTTTGAGCTCTGAAATTCTTTTGTTGTGTAGGTACAATTACAGATGAACATTTGAAAAATTTTTAAATAATTTGAAACTTATTTAAAGCTATTTAAAATCATAATATTAGAAACATTGTTTTTGCCTTTCATATTTGTACCTTAAATAATCAACTTATATGTCTTCAGAAATTAATTTTTTTAATTGCAAGAAGACTAACATATACCTAAAAATATTTATTTGATGAGAATAAAGTTTATGTCATTGGTTTAGTTCCAGAAACCACAGAATATAGAATGAGAGACGATGATGCTACTTGCTTAGCTTATGTTTCTTCTGTGGTTATTACTTGAAGTGATTTGTTAGGTATTGAGCAACTCTGATTAGAATGAATGTTTAAAGGTTTTAAAATAAAGTCTGAATAATATATTATTATAGAGAAATAAACTCTTCTGAGCTATGACAATTACCAACATAATGGGAAGGTCATATTAAGAAAATGGTTATGGAAACAATTCTTCAGAAAAAGTCAGTATGATGAGATGAACATTAATCTTTTCTATAAAACCCAAAATAGTCATTTCAGTATTGGTAAGTGAAACAATAATACTCAACAGATATTTCCTTAGTCTCTACTATGGGCAAAGCAGGAACAGAGAGTTTGTATAACATAGTCATTGCTCAGAAGGGGCTTAAATTTCAATAATGGGGCTATAAGAAGTACATTTATAACTATATCTCACAGTAAAGTAAGATAAATGCCACTGAGAGATACAAACTAAGTGTGTAGGGTACATATGGTCAAAAGTAAGAAAAACATTTTTGAAAGTATCTCTATGAAAGTTCACTTAAGGCTGAGCTGTTCAGAATAAGTTTGGAAAAAGAAAACCCTTATCATTCTAAATGTAATATTTTAATTGCCATGAAGAGTAACATATTTCATTTAATCTTTAATGATATAGTCGATTTATATTTATCCTATATAATAAAAGGCTAATATGCAAATAGACCGAACAAGGAATGACCAGTTGCTATGACATGCACTGACCACCCTTTCATATTTGTACCTTAAATAATCAACTTATATGTCTTCAGAAATTAATTTTTTTAATTGCAAGAAGACTAACATATACCTAAAAATATTTATTTGATGAGAATAAAGTTTATGTCATTGGTTTAGTTCCAGAAACCACAGAATATAGAATGAGAGACGATGATGCTACTTGCTTAGCTTATGTTTCTTCTGTGGTTATTACTTGAAGTGATTTGTTAGGTATTGAGCAACTCTGATTAGAATGAATGTTTAAAGGTTTTAAAATAAAGTCTGAATAATATATTATTATAGAGAAATAAACTCTTCTGAGCTATGACAATTACCAACATAATGGGAAGGTCATATTAAGAAAATGGTTATGGAAACAATTCTTCAGAAAAAGTCAGTATGATGAGATGAACATTAATCTTTTCTATAAAACCCAAAATAGTCATTTCAGTATTGGTAAGTGAAACAATAATACTCAACAGATATTTCCTTAGTCTCTACTATGGGCAAAGCAGGAACAGAGAGTTTGTATAACATAGTCATTGCTCAGAAGGGGCTTAAATTTCAATAATGGGGCTATAAGAAGTACATTTATAACTATATCTCACAGTAAAGTAAGATAAATGCCACTGAGAGATACAAACTAAGTGTGTAGGGCACATATGGTCAAAGGTAAGAAAAATATTTTTGAGAATATCTCTATGAAAGTTCACTTAAGGCTGAGCTGTTCAGGATAAGTTCTTGTGGACAAAGTTAGTTATAACCTAAGCTTCAAAGAATAGATATGATTTTGGTAAGTGAAAGGGACTAGTATATTTTTATATAGGAAAAAAGAGCATGATAGCTATCATTTATTGAGTTTTTATCTTGTGGCAGACACTCTACATACCCTTTCCATTCATTATCTTATCTTAAAATAACTTTGTAAGGTTGATATTCTCATTTTTTTCAAGTGAATAAACTAAAGTACCGAGAAGTTAATATACTTGTCAATACCATATTATTAATAATTGATAGAGCCAGGTTATCTGCCTCTAAAGCTCAATCTCTTTTACAATGCTAGGCTGAATAATATTAGACAAATACAAGATGCAACCTATATTTCAGGTTGTGGAAAGTTTTAATTGTCAAACTGATAATTCTAACTTCCTCTTCTCAATGGTGAATTTTGTAGGCTTCTAAGCAGACATATTACTAGGAATTCAGTCTGATAGCAGTGCCCAGACAGGAAATTTCTGTTATCTTGATGTTACAAGACTAGGACATTAGGGTGATAGCAGTGAAAATGCAAAAGAAAGGCAGGATTCAAGTGATACTTTAAAGGCAAGTTCAACTTTGAGAATCCTACTTCAGCATAGTGTAGAAGACTAAAGGTAGATTTTAGAAAGCTAAGGAGAGATTGAATGGTGGTAAAATGAGAACTTTGTAGGGATTTCTCCACGTGGATGTTGACTGTGTGAAGTCTTAGGGCAGCCTGATTTTCTACTCAGAGGTGACCATTTCTTCCTCTGTATCCCCATGTAGTTATTTCCTTGTCTTTGAAGTTCAATAAACCTATTAGGTTCTGTGTCAGTTTTTTTCTGGTACACTTTGATGTGAAAATTATTTTTATTTTATTGTAGAAAAGTCTCCCCTTATGTTTTCAAGCATTTTTCTTTTGCATTTTTCTATGTTCTTCAGGCACACAACTATATGTATATTGAGTGTCCTTTGTGATGGAAGTATTTATTATCTTCTCTATAATCATGTTTATCTGTTGCTTTCTTATTTCATTGTGTGTATTCAGTTATCTTGCATCCATATTCCTTTATTGTTTTTTTCAGTTGTATTTCATCAGTTTTTATTGCTTCTGATATGGCTTTCATCTGTAACTAGAGGCCTGGTGCACGAATTCGTGCATGGTTGGGGTCCGGCCGGCCCACCCCTTGAGGCCAATCGGGCCGGCTGGGGGGAGGGGACACCAGAGATTGGCTGGCCGGCCCCGCCCCCTGGTCAAACTGCCAGTTGAGGGGACAATTTGCATATTAGCTTTTTATCATATAGGATGGCCTCTTTTTGCTCTTAGAGGCCTGGTGCACAAATTCGTGCATGGTTGGGGTCCGGCCGGCCCGCCCCTTGTGGCCGATCGGCCGGCTGTGGGGAGGGGACACTGCCTCCTAGTCAAACTGCCGGTTGAGGGGACAATTTTCATATTAGCTTTTTATCATATAGGATGGTCTCTTTTTGCTCTTTCTTAAGCTCTTCTGGTTCACATTTCATTACCTTGGTTTTATTTTTATCTCTTTTTAAAAAAATATATTTTATTGATTTTTTTTATAGAGAGGAAGGGAGAGGGATAGAAAGTTAGAAACATTGATGAGAGAGAAACATCGATTCAGCTGCCTCCTGTACACTCCCTACTGGGGATGTGCCCGCAACGAGGGTACATGCCTTTGACCGGAATCAAATCTAGGACCATTCAGTCCATAGGCCGATGCTCTATCCACTGAGCCAAACTGGTTAGGGCTATTTTTATCTCTTGTAACTTTTCTTTGAGCTATCTTTGTAGAGAAAATTGGCATTTCAAAATTCTTTGAATCTATAGTGAACTATATGCCTGAACCCTTTCCCTGTTGCATAGAGCAATTCCTTCCATGAATGTTTATCCTCCACTTTTAATTTATGTTTCTGTCCTCACACTTCCCCTCACCTCAATATCTATGCATAGGGCCCTTTCTAGTTTCTTCCTAGTTATTAGTAATTTTTAAAATAAAGATTACTCTATCTGAGCTGCTGTTTGTTTTAGAATAGTATAGGTACGTGCAAAAGGAAGTAATGTGGAGTGGTACACAGATTCAAATTTGCTGCCTTGAATACCATCTTATATTTAGTTTGTCCTCTACCAGAAACATATCTCCCCTAATTTAATGTGCAATTTGTTGTGAATCCCTTTGTATCACAGGCTCTCTGAGGAGTAATATGATGATTTCTGCTCTTGTCTTTTACCCCCTAGAAATCTCCTGAGGTTAGGAGATTTGGTTGTAAATCATAAACATGACATGTTCTTCCCGTTAATTTGTACCTTCTTTACTTTTGGCTGTTTGGAACTGGGCCTTTACAGAGTCATGAATTATATCTCCTGTGGGTTTCCCATTCCTTTAAAACTCATCATTGTAGTCAAAGGATTGTTGGAATGAACTTTTAGGACTGGTATACTTTTAGACATCTGTAGCCTGTCCAAGGTTTGAGGTCTGAGGAGGTTTTTTGTTTGTTTTTTGTTTTTGGTCATCTCTCAACATCTTTTCTTACACCAATGTTTCTTCATATTTTGTGGTTTGTGGTAGTGGTTCCTTTCTCATTTCATCGGAGATGATGTTTTCATCTTTTGATATTTTTCTGTTGTTTTCAGTGGGTTTTGAGGGAGGGAGGATAGTTTAAAAATTTTTCTTTCTGCCTTCTTTAATGTAAATTCTCTAGTGATTTTTTAAAACATACATCAGATCATGTCATTTATCTGCCTTCACTCTTCAGTGTCCAAAAAATGGAGCTCTTAGAATAAATCAAAAACTCTTTTTCATACCCTGGCTGGTGTGGCTTAGTTGGTTGGGCATTGTCCTGTGCCCTGAAAGGTGGCAGGTTTGATTCATGGTCAGGTTACATGCCTGGATTTCGGGCACCATCCCTGGTCAGGGTATTCAGGAGGCAGCTGATCAATGTTTCACTCATATCAATGTTTCTCTCTCTATCTCTCTCTCTCTCCCTTTCCCTTCTTCTCTTTCTGAAAAGTCAATTAAAAAATCTTAAAAACCCCACCTACCTCTTTTTCATGACCTGTGCAATCAGATGTGATAGGGCCCCTGCTTACCTAAGCAACCTCATCTTGTTCCATTTTTTCTTACTTTCACTATAGCTTTCTTTTAGTTCTTTAATAAGACTATTTTTTGTTTTGTTTTAATCATACTTTTATTCATTTCATTTATATTTTGTAGAATATTATTTTCTCCTATTCATTTTTTAGGTCCAACTTATCATTTCCTCAGAGAAGCCTTCTCTAGTACCACAATATAAATTAGTTGCATTATGTCCATCTCTCACTTGGTTGCTTTTTTCTTCTTCTTCATAGCTAAGTAAATTGTATAATTATGTGTTTATCTGTTAATGTGTCTTTTTATCTAGACCAGTGGTTGGCAAACTCATTAGTCAACAGAGCCAAATATCAACAGTACAACGATTGAAATTTCTTTTGAGAGCCAAATTTTTTAAACTTAAACTATATAGGTAGGTACATTGTTATTAACTTAATTAGAGTACTCCTAAGGCTTAGGAAGAGCCACACTCAAGGGGCCAAAAAGCCGCATGTGGCTCGCTCGCGAGCCGCAGTTTGCCGACCAAGCTTCAGGAGAGCTTGATGCTTACTAATGTTTATTGAGTGAGTAAATGAATTAAAAAAGGAATTTCACATGCAGAACAAGGAATGTTAGATGCAGAACTTCTAAGATTAATTGACCAGGCATTGCTATCTCTTAGAAGTATTGGTGTAGTGAATAAATTTTCCTTACTGTAAGATTACCCTAGTAATAATAATATTATAAGTAATACTGAGTACTTGCTATGCCTCATACATACTCTATAGTTTACTGGTTAACTACTATATATCAAACACAGTCACAGGTATTTTATATAAAAAATCTTTAATGCTCACAATAGCCCTGAAATGTAAATTTTTATTGTCAATATTTTAAAGATGAGGAAACTAAAGTTAAAAAAGTGCAATTGACTTGTCCAAGGCCATTTAGCTGGTAAATGGTTGAGGCATAATTTGAATCTAGGTTTAATAATTGTAAAACCATTGTTCTTTTAATTGAATTATGCTTTCTCTTAATAATCAATAACCTGGAAGATAAAGTGCTTTTTCTAATATGTTACTTTATTTATAGAAAATAATTTATTCTTCTCCAAAAAGTTATGCCATATAAAATTACTTTGCTTCTATGGTCTCTAGAAAGTGCCCATTTATAACCTGGTCTCAAAGATTTAGAAATGAAAAAATCGTGAAGATAAGTTAAAATCTATTTTATTTAGTGCTTATTAAAGAACTCAAATATTTTAATCACAATATAAAATGTACTTTTAATCTCCAGTATCTATTATTATATTCCATATTAACTGCCTTTACAATGTGAATGGAATAGAATTTTCTTTTGTTACAAAGTAGTGTGATAAGGCAATAAACCAAAGTAAGATATTTGTTTTAATTTTCCATTTAGTTTTTCATTTTTTAGTTCTTATTTTGGGGGATACCAATTCAAATCAACAGCTTTTAACTTCTGATTATAATAGAAGAACCAGAACTAATTTGAAAAGAATTTTAATTTTTTAAAAAGTGAAATTTTTTGGTGGAAGCTAGTGATCTAATAATAGCTGTTAGGATATTTGAATGGTCCAGGAAAGAGAATTTCCTCAGTTTGGTGTTGACTATAAATAATACTTCTACCTCTATATTATGAATTGCATGAGAGATTTTTTATAAAGTTAGGGGGTAGGAAAAGGAAAACATAAAATTAAATGAAAACAGATAGTTTAACATATATAAAGAGCATTAGAAAACTGCAAAATGACTAATATCAAAAAAGAAGAAAGTTTCAAAGAGAAAAAAATCTACATAAAAAGAGAAACATTAGGTCATGCTACTTGCTAATGTTAAAGGTAAAGCTAGTATTTTAGCATTGATATGTCTAATTTTAAAGCTCATACTATTTTTTTATTGCAATAATGAATGAATATTTATAAAACAGAAAATGTGTATGCTCCAGAGACACCAAGAATAATGCCATTTCAGCAGAGTGCTCAATAACAATGAAATGAATGACCAGATGAATATGTACTAACCATATCTAATTAACATTTATTCTTCCAAAATTGATTATTAAAGTAAGTAAAAAGATGACTTAAGGCATTATATGAGAAAGCAAAGAAGTAATTTCCCATTTGATATATTTAATCACATTTGAAGAACCCAGAACACTTAAAAATTCTATCCGTTTTTGCTCTCATACTTTGTTTCACAAACCAGTTAACTCTATCAGTGACCTCCTGGTATACTGCGCTTGTGTAAGGCAGATTTATTGCCGAATATGCTAGAAGTATCTCATTATAACAGTTTAACACATTACACATGTCCTTAGTATAAGTCTTTTAAAGGAACATAAAATGGTCAGTGCTTTAATTTCTCAAGGCAAGTCTTCTTTCAAAACGTGTTTGGAAAAACCTGTCATTGTTGGTCTCCAAACCCTAAATTGAATTCCTCTTTCAGTAGTAAAAGTAAATTTAGGTAAAAATTCACCCACAAAACTACTAGTTATGGTCCCTGTAAAAAAAACAGATACAGCGCCCGTAACCATAAGTCAGAGACTTCCTGATGCCATTTCTGGCCAGATTAAAGGGGACACTTGAGTTTCAACTCTCAGCCCTGCTGATTAGGGTTGAGGGGATTCATGTTACTTTGAAATCATCATTAGCTGGTAACTAGGGACTGAAAAAGAGCCCTAAATTGAGAATTTTAATAAAATGTGTGAGAAAAGATGTGTTTATTATCATGCCTAATATCTTGGCATTTGCTTTCCCAGGGTCCACCTGGTCCAGCAGGTATCCCAGGTCCCTCAGGAAAGAGAGGCCCACGGGTGAGTAGATGGGTTCCACTTCCCACAGGCTGTTGGAATGAATAACTCTCCAGTACGTTTTTTCCTACTATTGTACAGTATGTACTTCCCTTGGAAACCTGCCTGGATCTTCAAACTTAGCCGTACCTTTGCCAGTTGGAGAGACGCTTAGGAACACGCTCAGCTTGTTTATCTGAGTATAAACGCCCAGCTAAAGCATTCTCTGTGCGCATGCCCAAGAAAGGTGATCAAATTGTTAGATTCGTGACTGTTCAGGTGCTACTTGCCACGTTACTCTCAGTTACAAAGTGATCTCATCTGTAGTTGATAGTCCAAGGTGGAGCTCAGTTACTTTGGGAAATGAAGAGGGGTGGGCTGCCTTAAATAGTGCATTCCTGGATTACATAGTGGAAAATACTGGAGCTATTGACTAGAAAAATCACTGTCTTGAGGAAAAATTCGGCCTTAAGGATCAGCGGTAGTTTCTGACATTACACAGGTCCAACCAAAGATGCATTGCTCTGTTAGAATTAGTTTCTTTCAAACTGAAAAATAAATGTGGACTTTTACTGACAGAAATTCTTCAAAGAGCCAGAAAAAGAACCATGACTGTGCGTTACAAAGACAAATGCAAATGCCATATAAAATCCACTTTCTTTCTAGCCTGATTTTTATCCTACACACAATGTTAAGAAAAATCACCCTAAAATATTACATTAAGTTATCCATGTTCACATCAAACTCTTGTCCGTATGAGGGGAGATTTATGCTCACTGGGCTCCAGTGGTTATTTATAGTTTCTTTTATTTCTCGGCACTTGATGACCTGTCACACTCCTCCCAGGATGACTTCTAAAACCTGTTTCCTGTCTCCCGCCTGGAAACCTTTCCATCCTCCTCCTCCTCGGTCAGGAGACGTTGGATCCACTTCTGTGAGGGACCCAGTCCATCTTTGCAAGAATTGCATTCTCTCCCCACTACGAAGACTGTTCTCCCACAGCATGACCTTCAGTTTCTGAATTCCCATCTTTCCTCATGATACAGCACTTTCCCTCCCTAATTTCCATCTTTTTTCCCATTTATTTGTCCAATCCTCCTTCCTTTAAGGAGGGAACAGTATTTCTCTCCTCAAGGCTAACAATTACATTTGTGTTCCTAATTTTGTCTCCACTCAGTTATTTAACTTAAAACTTGCGACTGTACATTTCTTCTTTCCTACGTTTTTATTTCATTTGACAATGATCAACAAATTCTCCTTGTTTTTAAAAATCCCAAACTTTCATTAATATTAATTTTTTCTAAAGTTATTGTCTTGGCTCACTTTTGTGCTGCTAAGCTTTGTGAAATAATAGTTGACTAGTATATCCATTGCTTTAATATCTACAACAACTCATTTGTTATTCCTCACAAATTTTTCTATCTACTTTATCAAAATTTATTTTTTCCAGGTTACAAATGACATGTGTCATGGAATCTAATTTTTTTCTTTAATGTTAATCTTATACATATAACTTCAGTATTTGCATTGCTGACAGAAATTCTTCAATGCTCTTATTAATCCAGAATTAAAAAGACAGATAAATAAATAATTATTAACTATATGTTATGTGTTAAAGTAGAGGTATGGCTGAAGAGCACAGGTGGATAGCAAACCCAAATGAATATAGGGGGCCTAGAGATCTGGAAGGCTTTGTGGAGCGAATCTTAGTTAATCTACTTGCTGGTTAAGTTTTCTCATTTGTAAGGACGAGTGAAAATAACCTCCTTGCAGGGTTGTTGTAAGAATTAGAAATAAGAAATATAAAGTGTTAATACAGTTACTTGCATATAGTATGTAGTCAGTAAATAGAAGCAATTATTAAATTCAAATTAGCAAACATTCATTGAATGGCTAATATGTGCTAAGTACTACATTGGTAATATTTAGAACAGTCTCTTTTCAAAGAATTCACAATCCTAGAACTAATCAGCATGCATCATAAGGTAATTAAAATGGGAATAAAATATTTAAGTAACAGATTGGGACAGTATAAGAAATGTCTCAAAGCAACATATAATTAATTGCAAATGAATTTTACATGCAGCAGTATCTATGGAAGTTAGTAGGAGAGCGAATCATTTCCTCCTGGTGTAGCCAGGATTTAAAAGTGAGGTGAGAGCTCAAAAGGATTTCGGTAGGTAGGTGTAGGGGGCAAGATTAAATGAAGTAATTCTTTAAGGCATATATAATAGCACTAGAGGCCCAGCGCACGATTAATGCGCGTGTAGGGTCCCCTAGGCCTAGCCTGGCATCAGGGCCATGTCTGCAGCCCCGCGACACCTCGCACGCTCCACAGAGCCGCTGCTCATTTGGTACTGACACTAATACAGGCCTTTTATGATGTAGACTAGAGGCCTGTTGCAGGAAGATTCATGCAAGAATAGGGCTTCCTTGGGCCTATTCCTGCAAGAATAGGGCTTCCTGTGGCTCCGATCACAGGCTCAGCCCCTGCCCCCTCTGATTGCCGGCTCTGCCCCTGCCCCCTCCGATCGCCAGCTCCGCCCCTGCCCCCTTTGATGACCGGCTCCGCCTGGGTAGGGGACCCCCAGCCCTCTCCAATCACTGGCTCCGCCCCTTGGCCCCCCTCTCTGCCTCCCCCGCCACCTGCCTGGCCAATAGGCCTGGACACTTTAGTGGTGGGGCTGAGGGGACTGGGCACCGCCATCTTGTGGCCATGGGCACCGCCATCTTTGTGATGGAGTGACAGATAATTTGCATATTACTCCTTTATTAGCTAGGATAAGCAAAAGCCTAAGTGCACAAAGAGTTAACATGTGTTGAGAGAAGAGTAATAAAACAATTGAACTTTGTTATTTTTAGGCTTCTTACTCTGCAGGGCTTTTAAAAATAGCACTAAGCAATATGATTGGAGATAGGGGAGGTACCTGAGGCAGGTAAACACCTCAAGGCAATGTTCTGAAGCAAAAGATAGAAAGGACACTTCTACTCTATAATCAGTGTAGCTCAGACGAAAATATCCAAGTTCTCAGAAAATCTAACAGACTTTGTAAAAAACTGAAATATTCATTTTAATAAAATTATAGTATGTAATATTATTTGAACGTTAGAATAAACACTGCCTGTTATTTATATCTGGATTTATTCTAAGCATGATCTGACTCTTTTACTATTTGCAGGGCATACCAGGACCACATGGAAATCCTGGGTTGCCTGGATTACCAGGTCCAAAGGTGAGTGATTACTAGTGAGTAATTCATGATTTTCTTGACATAAAAGATGGTCCTTAACTTTTAAAGCCAGTCTTGGGACAGTGAGGCTCTCTGCTATGTGCAGAGCATAATATTTGATTCTTTAACAGGATTGTCTTAGCTTGGCAGACAGCTAGATTCCTCCAAAAGCCCACTGCTCTTGAACTCATCTGGTTAGTGGTAAAGTCAGGGGTAGGCTTGCTTTGGTATGACAAAGTCTTTATTGTCAAAATATTATGGCAACATATTGAAACCTTTGAAATATACAGATTAGGATTTGAGTGGTTTACCTTAAATCAAGGCCGTTTTAATGAGCTAATAAATACTGAGGAAATAAAATATCATTCATTTCCCTGATCCATACTTCTTAATATTTTCACTTGAAAAAAGATCTGTGAGGATAATGTTTATAGGATGATCGAATTTTTATGAAAGCAACTAACCTGAAAGCCTATCTATCACTATTATCTATCAGACTACTATCAGGATAGTAGTAGGAGCATAGAAAAAGGATATATTCCAGGCTGGTTACCCTGAGAGGAGGTATGGAGATAGAGATCTAGCTACATGTTATATATGTAAAATTTATATGTATATAAAATAAATCCCATAAAATATATGGAATTAGGTAAACATTAGAGTCTTGGTTGCCAGTAACTTAATGAATTTCTTTTTAAGGCCTTAATAATCCCTCTATTTAATAATGATCACACTCTGAAGTATACATGTAACCATATAGAATAGGGGTTAAGGACATAGGTTTTGGAGTCCAAGAGATCTGGGTTCAAGTCATAGTCCTCTTGGTTTGTATAATAGAAGCAAATCACTTGCTTACCCTCTTTAAGCTTCACTTTCTTCTGCTATAAAATGGGAAAGCCTTGGCCGGTGTGGCTCATTTGGTTGGGTGTGTCCATGCACTGAATGTTACTGGTTCAATTCGAAGTCAGGGCACATGCCCAGATTGCAGGCTCCATCCATTCTTTGTAGGGGGTGTGCAGGAGGCAGCCTATCAATGTTTCGCTGTTACATCAATGTTTTTCTCTTCCTCTCAACTTTCTCTATCTAAAAAAATCAATAAAAATATTAAAAATAAATAAATAAAAATGGGGAAATCATAGTACATCCTCATAGGATTGAAGTGAAGGCAAGTTAAATTAATGCGAGTAAAGCACTTACCATGACATTAGCATGCCATGAGTATTATGATTATTATTAATAAGTAATAAAATAGCATACAGCTAGGATAATTGAAATCCAAATTTTCTAAAGCTTCTCATCATTACTAATACTTTCTTTAGTTCCATAAAAATGCCTCCAAGAGGAAAAGACTCTTTTAACTCAAGTCTGAATGTGTAACAGTGGGAGGAAAGACAGATGACCTAAAGAATCCCGAAGTTTGCTTTGTAATGTGTGATTCCTGAGTCCTTCAAGCTTTATGTGAGGAATTGAAAGATATTTAGACTAGTCAAAGGTTGAAGTAGCTATAAAGGCCTAGCTCATGCTTCTCCACAGGGCTGACTTGCCCGTGGCTTACAGTCCTGCTAACAGCCTACAGGAAGGAAGGCGGAAGTGGGCCAAAGTAGCTATAAAGGCCTAGCTCATGCTTCTCCACAGGCTGACGTGCCCGGGGCTTACAGTCCTGCTAACAGTCTACAGGAAGGAAGGCGGAAGTGGGCCGGGGCAATTTCCACTTGGCTTGTATAATTAGGTATTCCAAACAAAGAAATAATAAATACGGAGAATAGGGTGAGGAGAGATGAAAATATAGTGGAGAGCCTTTCATTTAATTGACTTCTTACAATTTGAATACATATTTAGGAGCAGTATTTGAGAAGATAAAAAACTTTGTATCAAATAAAAATTTTGATTGTCCCAAGATTAAAAACAGTGTATTTTTCAGTATTGATCAGTATGAATATGTGTCTTTGGTTAAATGATCTCAGAGAGATGAAAATTTGAATCTCAGGATTTTTTTCTTCAGTATTCTATTTAGTAGTAGTGTGGATATGATTTTGAGTATAGCTATTCACTAATAAAATATTTGTATGAACCCATATATGAGGAATTTTTTAACACCTACTTTTAATTTTAAAACAACTACTTAGACCTCTTGGAGACTTAATCTTATAAGTTGAATATTAATCTTTAATTCATATTTAATTTAATAATTTTAAAACATGATAATTATGTCCAAAATAGCCCAAACTGACCATGATTTGTTTAAACTGTACATAACTGAACATTAGATTTGTGACAGGTGTCAACAATTATCAGTCTGTTTTAAAGGCATCAAATAAAGCTTGCAGTGTGTGGTTTTGTAAAACCAATTTTCCTAGGTATTTAACATGCATTTTAGACTAATCAGAATTAATGCAACAGACAAGCTTTATACTTTATAATCCTCTTAGAATATGTATTCAAGACAATGCAAGAAAAGCAGATTACATGCTCTTGACAAGAAATTTTGACATATAATCACAGGATTGATTTTCCTTCAGGGAATAAAGGTTTCTTTTAAAATAAGGGAATTTAGAATATAAAGACAATTCCAGTTATTTTTCTTTTCTCCGTTACTGTTTAGCAAGAATAACATAGATAGAATTATTGGCCTTTAAGAAAATTGTATAAAAAGTCATCTTGCCACTTGCACAAGGAATCATCTGTCCATTTCCAAAGGGGGTCACCTGAATCTACAGAAAGAGCAAATTAAGGCAATTGAAAATCTAAAAAGGTTTAACTGAAATGGGAAATGTGACACATTATGGAACCTTTTTACAAACATATTAGAATTAGTGTGATGTATTAAAATTGTTAGAATCAATCAGTTAAATGATATGAAGCACATAAAGTACTTGGTAGAATGCTTGTGTATAGTTGATATTTAAGAAAATAATAATTCCCTTTTCTTGAAGGGGCTACTTATTAAAGGGCTAGGCCAATTAGAAATGAAACTTTTACTGAAAATACCACATTTATTATTTGTTAAATAAAAAATCTTGCGGCTCTTATGAATGAAAATACATTAAGACAGTATAGAAATATGATGTATTGATTAGGCTATTTTAAAGTTTATAAGGTATTTACCATGTCCCGCTAAAGTGATATGGCTCAAACCCCAAACTATTTCCCTAATGTGGCCAGCTGCTGAAATTTATGTTCAATTCTTTCAGCCTTCCAGTTGTTGCTTTCTGCTGAGCTCTTTGGAATCTATCACATGTCAGGATCAGCCAAGAATTGAAGAGAGTCTATATCCAGGTTTTGGGGGAAACTGTCTCCCCGCTCCCTCCCTCCCTTCCTTATTTCCTTCAGATTTCTCCTTCAATTTACAGTCATTCTGGTAGTCCCATACTCTGTCCTCTGACACCATTAGCCAAAAGATCTTTGGTTTTCTGCTTGAATTCTAGCCACTCTGTGAGCTAAAAAAGATAGGAAGTGTTGTTTAGAGAGTATAATACTTAAAATTGAGACTATGGAGCTTATGCAGTTATTAGTAATGTTAAAGTTAAGAATATTCAGGTGATGCTACCTCAAGATCATGCTATTTAGTGTTTCCTTTATGGTACTCTCACAATTTAGCTCATCCATACTCTGAAATTTTTAGTTCCAAATTCTTTTCACTGAAACTTTGCAGCTTTATCAGTAATTCATTCAAGAGTTGTGTTGCCTGCTTTTCAAGAGGCAATAATTGTAAAATTTATTTTAATGATTGTCTTTAGTCTTATTTTTAAAAAAATATTCTTATTTATTATTTCATTTTTGTTCATCCTCACCTGAGGATATTTTTTTGATTTTTATTAGAGAGAGTGGAAGGGAGGGGAAGATACAGAGAGGAACATCGATGTGAGAGAGACACATCGATTGGCTGCCTCCTGTACGTGCCCCCACCAGGGCCAGAGCCTGCAACCGAGTTACATGCCCTTGACTGGAATCGAACCCGAGACCCTTCAGTCTGCAGGCTAATACTCTATCTACTGAGCCAAACCAGCTAGGGCTAGTCTTATTTTTAACACTAACATTTTTATAATCTATAGAGAATTTGATCCTAAATCTTGCCAGCTAATCTAGTAGGTATTATTATTATTACTATTATTTTTACAGGAGATTAATCTCAATTTCAGAAAGATTAAATTCAGTCTTTTCACTCCAAATCCCACTGCTCTTTTCATTATATCGGGTAGACTCTAATCTGATAAATCTGATCTAACATGTTAATGAATCTAGTACCTTAGGGAGTTTCCCTTCCTAGACAGAGGGCCTCTGGAGATCCAATGACAGCCCCAAAGAGTTACTCTGATAATGAGGATTTTAGACTCTATAGCAGCTCAGTGGGATAGGTGGGACTTTGGGATCCTTTGAGTTATAATGTGCAGGCAACTTTCTTTTATTCATACTCAAAAGGATATATAGCTCTTATAACAAAAGTCATATAGTAGTAGTAAGTAGAAGTCAGTACTGAAGGTCAAAGTCAGTTATGATTAATTAATTTATAAACATTATATTTAATTTCAAGGAGGACTTGAAAGCAATCAAGTGTGACTTAAAGTGTGTCCGGAGTTATAGAATAGAAAATGAGGGAGTATGTAAGTGAGTGATTTTGGAGTATTCTCCTTCAATGCAGAGAGTATGCCCTACTTCTTTGACATTTCAGGTAAAGTTGGCATGTTCAGTAATCTTTGTTTTATGCATTTTATACCAGGATTAACTCACAACTGGCCAGGTTCAAAGCTGACTGCATGCTGACTTGCAGTTCTGGTGCTAGAACACGAGTTGATCAAATACACAAGCGTACTTGTGCGGGAATAAAAGAGATTTGACATGTAGCTCTGTAAATATGTTGCCTAATCTATAAAGCTTATGAATAAGAGAAAGTTCTCCCTTTAAATCTAATTTTGATTGCTTAATTACTTTTTCTACTCTTTTGTTGTTGTTGTTGTTGTTTGTTAATTCTCACCCAAGGATATTTTTTCCCCATTAGTTTTAGAGAGTGGAAAGGATGGGGACTGGGGGGAGGGGAAGAGAGACAGGAAAAAAAAAATGTGAGGGAGACACATCAATTGGTTGCCTCCTGCACGTGCCTGCAACCCAGGTATGAGCCCCTGACTGGGAATGGAACCCAGACTGATGCTCTAACCACTGAACCATGTGGGTCAGGGCTTTCCCACTTTTTAAATTTTTTTAAATGGAGGATGAAATATCAAATTAGTGAAAGATATTAAAAAATCTGAATGAAAATTATTTTAAGAAAGTTGATAAATAATAGAAAATTCAGATAGGACCTAAAAATAAGAATGTTTAACATGAGTTTTAGAAGTAAAAACATCAGCTACAAAGGATTTTATTATATTCAGATTTCTTAAGGGCTATTTTTTCTTAAGTTCTTACCTCAAATCAGTTGGTTAGGTGTTATAATAGATTAAACTATGTTAAAACCAATAAGTAATATTTTTTATTTACTAGACATTGTGATATGAGAAAGAAAAATGATTTGGTTTGCCAATAATTTTCCAAGCGATCTTAACCAATTCAATTAATCTTTCTGGATCTCATTGCTTCTTTAGCTATAAAATATGATTCATTAGGTAAGCTCTTAATATCTCTAACAAATTCTAAGTATATTTTCTTTTTTCTCTGATGGAGAGCTGAGTTTTTAAATTTTGAGATATCACTAAAGCCATTTCTCATCTTCCATAATCTTGTAACCAATGATCTAAAATTATAGCCTTAGTGGTGGAAGTGGTGATGGCTATGGAAGGGAAGAGGTCAGCCTGGAAAACAACCTTTTCTTTAAAAATTTTCTTCAACTCTAGAATATAGGACTCTTTGCCAATGAAGACTCATTTCTCATTTGTAAAGTGAAAAGACTTACTGTTGAATGTGAATGGCTTTTCTTTTGGTCATCCTTCTTTCATCAGTTAGTTCAAGTACTCTTGGAAAGCACCCCTGAGAAAGAAGACACGACTATTTTCCTATTTCCCATAGAGTTAAAGTAGCATTTAGAACCCTCTAGGAATGGAAAGCATGATTAGTTGAGAATGGTAATGAAATCAGAATTTGAATTATAAAGAATCTCTCAATTGTGGCCTCTTATTTTATGAGGTGTGAAATAGAAAAGGAGATACTTTGGTAAGTAATCATAAGAAAGATTAACAAGAAAGATTAATATTGTGCCAAGAACTTTGGTTGAAACCTAATGTCATGTTTTTCTTAAAACATAAAAGATAAAGATTACTGGAGTATAAAAAGTACCTATTTTTATAGCAGAATAAAAACAATTTTGGCAATTAGAGGTATTTTTTTATTATAAAAGTAATGTATGTACATTGCAAAATTTTAGAAAATATTTAAACTTGGAATGATAGCTAAAAATTTTATGAATTATATAAGCAGGTTTTTTTTTTACTGAAAGTAACTAGTGTACCAATGCTAAAATAGAAACTAAACTCAATATGTCACAAAAATGGAAAGGTTAATAGAACCCTTACATAGGTCCTTTGAAGAAAGATGATTCAATATTAGTATAACTTTAGTAAATAAATCAGCTATGTCTGGGGAATTTTGAGGAATCTTTTTCAACATTTAAACATAAAGCTAAGAAAAATATACATTAAAAATAAATAAGTCATGCCCATCTCATTTTAAAATAATTTAATACCATGTAATGTGTATAACTTCTGCTACAACTGAAGACGTATAATATATGTAATCTATGCTTCACCAAGTGTTTCATAACTGTTTTATCTAGGGCCCCAAAGGAGATCCAGGATTTTCCCCAGGTCAGGCTACTTCTGGACAAAAGGTAATTATTTGTTCCTGAAATAAAATCATGGTGATATATGGCAAGCATTTAAAAATTGTCTTATCTTATTAATCCTTTTTTGAGACTTTGCTTGTTATCAGACAGGGAAGATAGAAAACTATCCTATATAATAAAACCCTAATATGCAAATCGACCAAACGGCAAAATGACCGTTGGAATGATGGCTTGCTATGATGCGCACTGACCAGTCAGGAGCAGCTCCTGCATTGAGTGTTTGCCCCACAAGAGGGAGGCGACCAGCAGTGGCAATTAGGGGGTGGGGCCTCCCAGCAGGTGGTGCCAGGCTGCCAGCCAAGGTGGGTGCCAGCAGGGCCCCCCCCATCACCCTGCCCACCAGTCACCCCGAAGATGGCCCTGATCGCCAGCCAGGCCTACGGACTCTACCCTATATATTGGGAACAGTGTCTTAGAGTTAAAAATTAAAATCTGGCAAGGCTACTCTAACACTGAAAAAACAGGATGATGCAGCGATGACATGCATGGACTCTGGCTTGCACATTTTGTGGTCAGCCCTGATTCTGACACTTATAACTGTGTGACAAAGCCAATTACTTAACTTCTCTCTGCTTCAGTTTTTCCACCCATAAGATGGGGAAAATGGTACTACTGCCTCAGAAGGATCATGTTATGTACTACTTTTTATAATCAGGGCAAAAAAATGTAGCTGGCCATTCAGCAGCAAGATTCCTTTCACCTGTATGAAAAGTATGCAGCCTCTCAGATTGCAAGAGGGATGTCTGACTGCCTGTTTAGGCCTGACATTCCCTGAGGGGTTCCGGATTGTGAGAGGACACATGCCAGGCTGAGGGAACCCCCCAACCCATGCATGAATTTCGTGCACCAAGCCTCTAGTTGCATTATAATGAAGGAAGAAATATTTGATGAATTAAGTAAGTATTATCATTAATCTCAGTCTTACCATTAATTTTTTTTTAGTGTGTACTGTGGCCTACCATTGTACTACCAGCTAATTAGGGATGAGTGGGGCAAAAAATTAGAACAAGATATGATCCTAATCTCAAAATTTTTACTGTTTATATGCATGTACATACTAATACATAAATTCCAGTGCCATTTCATACCTTTTTGTAGATAGTTCTACATACTTTATCTTAAGTCCCACAGAAATTGTGCAGTAATCATAATTATCTTGTTTCCAGTTGAATTCATAGAATTTACGAGATTCATCATATGGATAGTAAATGCAGAGTTAATGATATATCTGAGTTATTTGACCTTTAGTCTAATATGCTTTTTTATTTTATCATAATACTCTCGAACACACACACACATATGTTTAGGTAAAAAGAAACTAATGTTTTAATGTAAAGATAGCAACACATTTTTATTAGGAGGAGTTTACTGCTTTCAAGTGCGGATGAATACAAAATGAATCTTAAGGAATACATCTGGAAGCTTTATTTAGACAAGCACTTGATGAATGTGATACAATTAAAGGATGTTTATGTTTATGTGGTATATATTCACAAACTTTTAAAGTCCCTGAATACTTGGTGGTTCCTGGTTGAAAGCTGATTTTTACATGGCTTACAGTCTTTTAAACTGAAAAGATATCACATCATATTAATGGACTATACAGATATACTAGTACTAACAAGTAAAACAAAAATAATAATTTAAAATCTTAAGGACTTTCTCATCTCAAATGTCTAACTTCTGGTATTTTGAGAAAATAAATATCTACTGCTTACAACACCCCCAGAGTGATATGTTACATCAGCCCAAATGAATGGATACAGCTCCTTAGGGCACACTTAGGTGCCCTTGGTGGCACTGCCAGAGTGGCACCTAAATTAAATTACATCAAGGTCCAATAGTATTAAAAGGGTGCTTCATTATGGCAGAGTCCCTCCTTATGAAATGTTATGAGTATGAGTAAAGCCACAGCTATTGACATTACAGGTCCCAATGGTATGTACTTTGAGATGACAAATTGCAGAGAAATAGATAGAATAGCTTAACCTCATATCTTTCCTTTCTGTGTATAAACAATGCTATCAAATGTGATGATGTGTAAAGTTTGGAGAAGATCTTAATGACAGTTGAGCTGACTGCTGCTTAGGATATCTGGGCCACATCATTAAAACAAAACAAAAAAAATTTCAAAATGCAAAATAAAATCTTAAGGATGTTATTGCTGTGATGGAACTGAGTTCACTGAATCTAAATATTTTAGAAAAGGAGTGGGAATTTAATTGATCACTTAATTATTACAAGGAAAAAATATGCAGTCCAAGAAACAAAAATGCTAGCTTTTAAAATATCTACATATAGGACATTTAATTTCTTACTGAAATTTCAGAAATTAGAGTTCCACTCTGTTTTGGTGACTGCATTAAATAAAGTCCTCAAATTAAGTGTTTAGGTGGCTTCTCTGTACAAAATATATGGTGGTTCAGAATGTGTTCAGTATTTCTATAGAATACAGAATGAGTCAGCCTGGGAGTGGGGGCTTGGTAGTATGTCAGCTTTTTTTTTTTTTTTTTACTTTTTGAGTCACTTTATACTAATTGTGGATAATACTAAAAAGGAGAACTGTAGTAAGATATAGGATTTAATAGCAAGTTCCCATTGAGCTTTAAGTGAAATCCATCTTTTAAAACTGAGATATATTTCTAAAATGGTAAAATTTAAAAAATATTCTTAGAAATTATATTTACATTAAGTTGGGTTCAAGTGAGAATATTAGTGATATACATACAATATGAATATAAATAAAATATAAATATTAAATTGGTGGGCATATAGGGGCATTGGGAAACAATTGAATTCTATTTTTAACTAGCAATTTTTACAATAAGTATATGGTTAAGAATGAAACAATAAAAGCAATGCAGGTGCTAGTCCTTCAGAATGCAATACCTACTAAATAATATCTCTCATAGTGCATAGATAAGTGTTTAAGTCCTTTTGGGATCTCATGGCAAGCAAAGATAATTTAAATAATGGTAATTTTTCCTTTCTCATAAGACACATGAGATAGTATTCTAATTTTTTGGATAGGAAAACTTTGAAGAGGAATCAAGTAATCCACCCATGATTAGAGCTCGTGGAAGGAGATGATCTCCTATTTCCTATTGCAGTTTTCTGTTTCCTCTATCAGAGTAATAAATGTAAAAAAAAACACACACACAAACCTGTATCATTCCATCGCAAAAGGAAGACATCTGAAATCATTGAGCAGGTGCATTAAAATGAATATTCGAACAAGTGGAAAAGCACTCTATTGTTAATAATCCGTAACATCCTTTTCTGACTGCTTAATTTGATGACATATTAAAATAGACAATGCACTAAAAACTAAACAGAGCGTAAATAGTCACTAAGGAGTTTATTTGGGTTATTACCTGAGTACTCTTTTTTCTTTCAAACACCATATACATGTAAATAAATATATGTGAACTTTTGCACAGTAAATTGCTGCAGTGGAAACGGGAAAGGGAGGTAAAGAGAAAGTGCACCTAGAGAAAGCAGGTGTAATATTACACCTCCCCCCCCCCATTCCTTTTGACAGGCTTCTCCCCCGCCCCAATTCCGCCCACTTCACCCCTATACTCTCCCCTTCCTACTCCAAGACGGGCTGGCAGCCCTCATGGGAGTTCGGGGAGGAGGGAACCGAGGGGCCTAATTGGTGAAGTTTGGTCTGTTGGGCCAAACACAGGGCCCTCCTGATCATTTTTCACTGTAGTTGAGCTCTAGTGGTGCCTTTGCAGGGAAGGCGCCCTTGCAGTCCCGCCAGGGGAAGTGCCCCTTTGGGGGGTAGGGGTGAGGAAGGGGGGCGACTACAGAAACGCAGCCCTGCTCTCCACAGCCCTGCATCCTGAGGTTCAAGGTTGCACATGGGAGACCCCTCGGGCTGTAGGTCCTCACCAAAAAGAGCAGCACCGATGCCACACCAAGTGCTTGTAGAATTTTAAAGTAAACTTTAGTTTTTTTAAAAAACACGGTAAACCTTGGAGCAGTGGGAATTGGGGGAGGAAGGTCATTGCTAGAGAAAAGGACACGGGAGAAAAAGGTGCGGGACCGCGGAGGTGGGAGGCCCAGTGCAGGTGTTCAGCATTGGGTGAGAAGGCCCGGGAGCTCCAGAAAAGCTGCCAGAAGTTCCCAGAAACAACGTGGAACTTGAGTCAGATTGTGAAGATCAGAAATGAAGGCAGTGAGATCTTGACACCCACGATGAAATCCTGTCGCAAGGGAATTCTAATTTTCAATCCTCTTTTATACCATTAAACCTCTGTGTTTTGTTCCTAGGGTGACCAAGGCCTGTCTGGGTTAGTGGGCCCCCCTGGCGTGCAAGGTGAGAAGGTAAGATGCAGTTGTACTTTGACATAATTAGGTGTCCTGACTCCAGGAGCTCTTCAGTTCCTGGATCTCGTTTTGCAGTTGAGCCTAAAGCCAATGTTTTAAAGTTCTTTTCTCAGCAGTAGGAATTAGGATGCTGTCCTAATTCAGGAAAGTGGTGCCCGCAAAAGCCAGGGTTGTATGAAAAGGAAAATAAAACCCTTCCGTTAATGATGAGAACGTCACTGATAGAATATGGAAGATGTTTTAAAATTATATTAGGAAAGAACCTAATTCTGAAACTTTGAAGTCACTTTTTAAGTTTTATATATCCAAAGGAGTTACACTTGGTTATAGGTAATACATTTGGCTTTTTTTAAAAGGGGTTCTTATTTTATTAGGAAATAATAATCTGTGCCATGATATATATACAAATGTGAAGCCTGGTGGGAAGGGTGGAAGTGAGGATTGGGGATGGCTACTACAACACAGTAGTCGCACCCATATGACTAAGCTTTCTCTGAGGTTAAAAGAAATACTAGCACAGCTATGCTAATTATTTCATAAAATATGTTGTGTACATTTTCTTCTATATATTCAACTTGTTTCCTGCCTCTCCCCACCTCACCGCCCCCCATACATTGAGTTGTTGATTTTCTACAGGGAATAAGGAAGAAATAAAATTTCTTTCTAAGCTATTAAGAGCCCCGGGATATTGGAGGGCAGTATTTGACATTACATGGATGTCTAGATACATATAAACATTAGCCGTGCTGGTGTTTTAGTGTGTCATATTTCTTCCCTCTTGGGAGATTTAGGTTGGAGGTGATAGTTAGGCTCTGGTTACTTGGCTCAAATTCCATCTGCTATTTTCTGGTTCCCATAAACCTTGGGTAGGTTGCCTAACCTCTCTAAGCTTTAGTTGCCTCATCTTTAAGATTTGAAGATGATACTACCCACTTCATAGGGAGTTCTTAAGAACACGGAATGAGATAATCCATCCACTATACTGCCAGACAAATAGCAAGCCCTTAATAAATGTTAACCATCAGCTATTTATCTGGTTTTGGAAAGGATCCTGACCTTGTTTGCTTTCCTTCAAAACCCTTGCTAAGGGCTGAATTGTTAAATGATGAAAAAGGTTGTGATCTCATGGAGTAGTTTTCCTCCCATGACCACACCACACCATTATTCTTATGGTCCTCAGACTAGTCTTCATCCTAGATGGTACTTAGAATCTGATAGCTCCTTTGAGGTTGTTGGTTTCTCCCAAGGAGATATGAAACTGCAGAGTGATCATTTCTAACAGAATTGGTCATGATATACAGTCATGAATTTGCTTGATTAATGCTACTTAGCATACCTCTGACCACTAAGGATACCTCTGAGGAAATTGTACTGATGAAGGGCATCAAACAAAGAAAATCTCTTAATACAGGAATTACCTTAATTGTTTATTTGATATTAAGTATAGTTATTTCACCCTAAATAATAACTGCATATGAGAGAAAAACAAACTATTTATTAGTTTCTGAGGTTAGATTATGCCTATGGCTGATGAAATGAGCAATCCAGAAAGAAAAATACTAAGTAAAAGTTGAGTGATTATTATGTAGAAGAGGATATAAGGAAATATTATGTATAGAGAAAGTTTTAAAAGACTAATGTTATCCATTAGAGAAGATTATCATTTGAAACTTGAAATTGTATTCACTTAAAGCAGAATATGTTAGCCTCCAAAGCCCTCTGCACATAATATATGGATCTCATCCCATCAGTATTTTAAAACATTAAGAATTTTTTTTACTCTGTGTAAATCTAGTAAAATGAAATAGCATTAATTTAAACAAACTGGGGGGAAAGGGTGCATCTTTCACAGACTCCTTTTTCTGCAATATGATTTTTAAAACTTGTAAAATCTGGGCTTTTATTGTTAACTAATAAAAATAGATCCTATAGAAATCAGGGATATTGTTGTATTATCAATTATCAGCTGTAGCTGAATTTTCTCTAGGGAAGATTTAGTTGAAGGTACTTAGAAACTAAATTACTTTCTGGTAAATGAAACATCCATGGTTTACTATGATTTGAAAGTCATTTAGAACAGTTGAAATATTTGAGATGATTTTGTAGCTTTTTCTGAGAATGTTTTCTCCTTTTTCAGAGGGTCTATAGTGGGAACTATATACAGATTTTTTTTTAAAAAAAAGTATTGCCAGCAAAAGGACATAAGGACTCAATCTAAGCCTAAGCTCATTTTCCACTCTGATTTTCCACATAAGCAGGCTTGGAATAAGTTTTTATCACAGTCTATGTGCATATCTTACTTTAATAGGAATGTACAATAGAAATACATTCAAAATGAGCTTGATAGACTGTTCCTATCCTTTATGTGAAAAGGGAAATGATTATTGGGTAGAATGTTTAGGCAAATTATTAGCTGTTTGTGGAATTTACTAATTTTGATTCATTTTTGAACTACCAAGGTCACACTCAGATTTACTTCCTGCAAACAGGATCTATGCTAGAATCCAGCATAACAGTTCATATTCGCTATAACCTAGGGACTCCTATTCTTTCATCATTTCAGTTCTAACCCTAAAATGGTAGATGAATTCTAAAGTAAAGATAAGAAGTTAAGTTATTCATGTTGTGAGATATCTCTGATAAGCCCAGGGAGTTTAAGAGAATTGCTCAGAGTCACTCAGAGTTATGGAAAGATTAAGAGATAAAACTTACTGATACTGAATTCATTGTGCATTTAACTGTTCTGTTCATATTATAAGAGATGAATAAGGTACTTGGGTTTTGATTAGTATAAAGTTTCTTACATCTTTTTATTCATTAAACCATTTTATGAATTATTATAACTATGACTACTAACATTAATAGTTGCTATAAAATTTTGTGCAGTGTTCCAGCCTCTCTGCAGCTCTTTGAGATTGATACTATGTTCAGTATGTTATAAATAAGTGGAGTATAAAAGAGTTAAATAACTTATCCAAGGCCACACAACTATTAATTAGTACAGTTAAGACTCAGATCCAGGCCTATTTGACACATGGCTGTGCTGTTAATAACTTGGAGTAAAGTTTCCCCATTAATTAATTAGTTCATTAAGCCAATTTTTGTTAGATGTATATTTCAGTATTCTGACCATCTCAAGAATGTATGCAAGAGGAAGTAATTTTTTTTTTCATGAAAGCTAAGGGAACAAATATAGTTTTGGATGACAGATAATAATGACTTCATTATTCCTTTTCTCTGGGAAAGGAATAATTCTTCTAATATAAACCATACTCAAGTAATATTTAAAATGACTACAAGAAAGTCATGTAGATAACACTGACAACTCTTGAAAACTGTTGAGATAAAGAAAAGATTAATGTGAAAAATGTTTTGAAAACTAGAATTAATATTGAGTCAGAAATAACAAAGCAGATAAATCAGAAGCAATATTTTCTTTCACTCTTCAATAGATTTTTTTGGTTTGCTGTTTTCTTTTCCCCCTTTTATCTCTCTCTCCTGGACTTTTAAAAAAATAATTATTAACATCTTTAACAAGCAATGTGCTTCTCCAGATTGACATGCTATGTTGTCTCAATTTACCTACCTTCATATAACTCTTATTTTCCTAGGAACTGAAGTATGTTTCACTTCCCACTAAGTGTCTCAATTTGTGCCAAAAAGCAGATAGTTTGATCCAGAGTGCATGTTGAATTGGATGGAAAACAAAAGTCAGAATTCTGAGTTTGGACTCCAGATGGATTTTAAACTGGTTTTTAATATAGCTGATCAGTTGCTATATTAATATTGAAAGTCTGCTATTTAAAAGTGTAAGAACATTAACAGTGCTTTCAGTTGGAGCAATTTTTTTTGATCGGGAGATAAGCCAGATGGGAGAAGTTAAGCATATCTTAGCATGAAGGTATAACTCAGAGCAGTTGTGAAATAATGCACACATTTTTAAAACATATTTTTATAAATAATGAATGGCAGTAATTTTCTGCATATCAAAAATACTGGCTACTATGGTTTTAGTAATAATTATAAATAGTGTGAATTCTTATTCTGTTTTGGTGGAAATATTTCAATTATTTTAGAAAGTATTTCCATTACATAGGAAGTGCACAATCTATACTAATAAAAGGGTAATATTCTAATTAGACCAGGAGACCTTCCGGGAGACTTTCCAGGACACCTTCCAGACATCCTTCCGGACAAAGCCATGGTGGCGGGGCTGAGGCAGAGGTGGTTAGGAGTGAGCAGGCTGGTGGGGGTGGGGCAGTTGGGGGTGAGCAGGCAGGCAGGTGAGCGGTTAGGAGCCAGTGGTCCCCGATTGCGAGAGGGTGCAGGCCAGACTGAGGGACAACCCACCACCGTGTGCACAAATTTCATGCACTGGGCCACTAGGATCTTTATAAAGTTGAAAAGGAAAACATCATGTGGAATGTACTGTGATTTATCAGTCACTCCAAAACTGTGCAGCTTTTCCTAATCTGTCTAAAGTAAGGACAGCATGAAGGAGCTACATTAGTAGTGAGTGTTGATGACAACAGCAATAAAAGTATATCAGGATTAGAATAAAATCAGTGCCTGTAGAGAGAAATAAGAAGAATTCTATTTTTTTGTAGTTAATTGTGTAGATGGTCCTCTCACCTGCCCATTATCCCTGTAAAAATCTGCAGAGCTGTGTTTCATTTGGGGCTGGTTCCCGGTCTAAGTGCAGGACTGACAGGTCATACAAATGCTGCTGCTGAGGGGCTATGCTGTCACCACGGTGACCATCTTCTCTGCAAGCTCTCTTTCCCACTAATGACAGGGGAAGCTGAGAACAAGGCAGCACAGTACTGAACTCCCCACAGGAAAGCCAGTGGTTGCCAAAGTGGTGGAACTTGTGGGACTTTGAAAACTTCCCCGTGTCCAAAGATATTTCCCTTAGTCTGGCTCTGATGATTGACATTCTAACATTAACGATAAATGCATTTGGCTAAAAGTCTCTTAGTTTCCAGAAGTTCTTTAAA